GAGTTTTGGGGAAGCGTGCCCACACTGCACATAATAGCTTAAAACTGTGATTTCATCGAACGACCGGAAAACTCCGGATTCATCTGATCAAGGACAATTAAAGGACATTGGTGAATATTAAAAATTGAAGTTTCTAAATAGTCTAGGAATTAATGGACGTTTAGTGGTTTAAGCGGAAGATTTGAATTAATTTGAATCGCATGAAATGGAGGTGAAACCCACCCCACTTAAGTGGACTTGTGCCACCTAGGAAAAGCATTATTGCATCTTCACTTCCCTCCTCCTTCTTTATCAAACTCGTGGCCTCCATTAGAAAGAGAGCAAAAATTTGTGAAGCTTGTAACTTCATCATCCATCCACCAAAATCAACAAAGTTCCACACCAATCTTCAAGTAAATTACATTCTAAACCTAACCATGGTACTTTCAAGGCATAAAACTCGCTAGATTAAGAGAAAAGGTGACCCATGGCCACTGTTTTAGTGAGGAGAGTTGATGTTCTGGGAGTTGTTTGATCCTCCATTACTTGGGTATTGTGTGGAGGAGTCTTAAGCCTTAATTGTGGGTAAGTTTCCACACTTTTCATTGGTTAATTTGATGGATTGAGTTTCATGAACCTAGGGTTTTCATGTGTGGATTGATGTGGTTCGGGACTTCAAATTGAAAATGTGTATCAGATAAAAGTGACTTAGAATGATGTTTTATGATGATTGAACTCATAAACATTATTGATTAAAAGTTTGTTAACATAGGCAAAATTTATGATGGAAATTCAAGATAGTTGCCTTCGGGCGTTACGGTCTTCCACTGGATAGGTTTCCATGATGGAGTACCAGTTGATCTGGAGTCATGGAGTTGTTATCCGTTGAGGAGCACTATAGGAATGTCTCGGGTGTGTTGGTGGTGGGTGCCTTGGTTGATGTTCTGGGAACACTTTCTTGAATGAGAACCCATAGGCTATATGCCGAGGAAAATAAGCAGGATGTTGTGTGGTTTTGACATTGACAATTCCAGCTTCATCGTATTTTTACTCCCTATGCATATCTACTTCACTAAATCCCTTGCTTTCTCCCGTTTTGGTTGTTATGGTGCATTATCGATTTACATCTGAGTGAGCCATTGGGCGGAGTAATCTCTAGAACCTCTGGGTTACTGAGATATATTCGTATATCTCACCCCATGTTTGGGGCTTTATTTCATGTAGTTGCAGTGGGGCTGAAGCTGTGGGCAAGAGGCCCATGGGATGAGTACTTGGACATGGAGATTGTTTTGCATTTTGAGGCCACTTTCGGCATAGGCTAGACTGAGGGCATTAACATTGTACATGGGTTTAGGATTATGCATATTGTCATATTTGTTCATGCCATATTTTGCCTAAGTCTAGTTGTTGTTTCATTATGTTTAATTTGAGGACTTATTTGTATTTATGTTAAGTATTTGGAGAATTGTAATATTATTATTATGAACCTTGTGTAACATTTAAAGCATGTATGTGATGAAAGGGAAATAGGCATATTCTAGGATATGATTTATGTTTAATGTGAAGAATGCATGCAAATGGAATAATGTGATTGAAATAAGTTTAAGTTTGACAGTGTAAGTATTGAATTGTAACTTGAGGAAATTGATACAAATTGTAATGGATTGTAAGAGCACCAAGGCATTGTTGGTTCTTGAGTGCCATCCATGTCTATTAGGTACCATTTGATGATAATTACACATTTTTTATAAAGTGGGATAGGTTGAATAAACAAAGGAGATGTCGTCGAATTTTAGATAAAATGGCAGTTTTTGGGTGAACTTTTGGAGAGCATATCTCCCTCCACAAAGGTCCAATAGGGATGTGCCATACACCATTTTGAATATTGAGATGTCAACTATGTTGTGTCAAAATTTGGTAGCCATTGGAGTTGTAGCAGACCTGTAGAGGCGTTCGAATAGGGACTGTCCAGAACGCCCTACAGCAGGCTGCGAATCTGCAGGTCTTGCCATTTTTTTCTACTGTGAGACGTGTTTATACTACTAATGTACAACAGACAGAGAAGGCACTGAAGCTGGTTAAAGGTATAATTTTCATTTCTAATATTGATTTATCTGTCTTGTTTGATTCGGGAGAGACACATTCGTTTATTGCAGAACATGTGGCTAAGGGGTTAAATTTAAAGGTCACATGGATGATTCCCCTCATGCATATTACCACTGCTACAGGAAAGGTTAGTGATTCCTCCTTTATTTGTAGAAATGTTGAGTTTGTCTATGAAGGCCGGGGTTACATTATTGATTTGATTATCTTGCTTGTGGTCTCTGTTAATCTGATTTTGGGTATCAACTGGTTGTCTCAAAACTGTGCAATGATTGATTGCTGCAGAAAGAGATTGATATTATTTCCTGAGAAGCCCGCTATTTGTCCGACTCCTTATCTGTCTGTCTGTCAAACTGTTAAGGCCTTAAAGGCTGGTGATCTGGGTTATGTGTTCTTAAGTGAACTTGTTGGTGACAAGGAGGAAGAAATTTCAAATATTTCGGTGGTTAATGAATTTGCTGATGTATTTCCTGATGAGATACCAGAATTTTCACCTGAGAAAGATTGAATTCTCTATTGATTTGTTGCCTGGTGTGGGGCCTATCTTTTTGGCTCCATACCGGATGTTGCCACTGGAGTTGGCTGAGTTGAGGAAGCATATTGAGGAGCTATCTGCAAAGAATTTTATCAGACCGAGTGTGTCTCCATGGGGAGCACTAGTAATATTTGTGACAAAGAAGGACGATAGCATGAGATTGTGTACTGACTACCGGCAGTTAAATAAAGTTACGATTAAGAACAGGTACTCTTCGTCGCGAATTGATGATCTTCTGGACCAGTTGAGGGATGCTTATGTATTTTCTAAGATTGATCTCTGGTCCGGATACCACCAGATCTGGATTATGTCGAAGGATGTGCCTAAAACGGCGTTCCGATCCAGATACGGATATTTTGAATATCAGGTTATTCCTTTTGGGCTTACTAATGCCTCGACAGTGTTCATGGACTATATGAATCGCATTTTTAAACCATATCTGGACCAGTTTGTTATTGTGTTCATTGATGACATCTTAATTTATTCCAAAAGCAAAGAAGAGTATACAGATCATCTAAGAATTGTGTTGCAGGTGTTGAAAGATAAGAAGCTTTATTCTAAGCCGTCTAAATGTGAATTCTGGTTATCTGAGGTCCAATTTATGGGTCATGTTATTTCTGCTAGTGGTGTTGCGGTGGATCCGAGTAAGATTGAAGTGGTAAGTGACTGGGAACGACCTAAGAATATAACTGAGATCAGGAGCTTTCTGGGTCTTGCTGGTTATTATCGCAGGTTTATACAGGAGTTTTCTGCTATGGCACTGTCGTTGACCTGATTGACACGAAAAGATACTCCTTTTGTGTGGACCCAGGAATGTGAGGAGTGCTTTTCGACTCTTAAAGAGAAATTGAATACTGCTCTTGTGTTGACTCTTCCTGATTTGGAAGGTGAGTTTGAATTATACTATGATGCTTCCAAGAAAGGTTTGGGGAGTGTTCTGATGCAAGAAAGGAGAGTGGTAGCTTATGCTTCTAGGCAGTTGAAGCCTCACGAGGAAAAGTATCCGACGCACGACTTGAAACTTGTTGCTATTGTATTTGCCTTGAAAATCTAGAGGCATTTTCTGTATGGGATGAAATTTGTTGTGTTCAGTGATGACAAAAACTTGAAATATTTGTTTGATCAGAAAGAGCTGAACATGAGACAGCAGAGATGGGTGGAATTCCTAAAGGATTATGCGAGTGAGGACAAAGCACACTGAAAAGTCTCATGTTAGTGTGTGGGGACAGTCATTGATTCTTGCAAGTGGCCGGACGATACACCTATATGCCAGCCTATTCGTACTATTTATTTTAATTATAAAATTAAATAAATATTTAAATAATTTAATTAATAAAATAATATTATTTTATTTAATTTTTTATAATTTTTTATTAGTATTAAAAGCTTGGCAAGTTTAAATAGACTAATAGGCCTAGGCCAGAGTTTGATTTTTTAATATAGGTCAAGTCAAACTTATAATTTAACTTGCATTAGACTAATAAGCCAGTAGGCAAGGCAAGATTCAAAATATTTTATATAAGTCTAACATATTTAAATTAAAGCCTAATGCATCTCAACTCATTTACACCCTTAAATGCAATAATAATCCTTAGCATTGAAAAGTAAATAGCAATGGACTCAGTTCAAATAACGATAATAATACAAATGGATCCAGTAATTAATTTTGCACTCATCATATTGTACTTAATTTGTTTAAGGGGGAGTAATTGTATAATTATATGTAAGTCAATAATAACATATAATATCTCTTTATCATTTATATGCATCACAATTCTTGTACATACGTTGTCGGTCAACAACACTGCAAGGGGGTTTGATTGAAAAAAAATAAATTTTAAGACATAGATTATGAAAGTATGAAATCACGGGGCATATATAAAATAAACAATAATTGCACTTAAAGTTAATTTTTTTAACTAAAACTAATTTAAAGTTGAGAAAACGTTATGGAGTAGTTGAAGAATGACGAAAGCAAAATTGATGTTATATGCATTATATGCAACCTTTTAATTAAGTATATGAAAATAATAGGCAGTATTAAGTCATTAAAATGAATTTATTGTGAAAAGCTTAAATAATTTATATGATGTTATAAATTTGAAATATTATAAAAAAATACTTATAGATAATTACTACAGTCCCTTAGGAGGGATTAATTTGAAAAAATTTGAAAGTATAAAAATTTATTAAAAGCTTTTAAGTTATAAAAGCTTATATGAAGTATTTGTAAAACTGTAAAATTCAGAGACCTGGACTGCAATTTGATCAATTTTTTTAATTTAATATAAGAAAATAACAACTTGAATGAATAAAAAATAAAAAAAGGAAACATACAGGGAGAGTTTAGACGATTGTTCCCTAATAAGAATCCACAGGTCCCTTGTCAAACAGTGCCACTTACCAACATTTCCCACAAAATTCCTAATTACTCCACAACACAACGAAGTTCACAGCAACTAGACATTTTCCCTTTGCGTTTTCTTCTCAAATTGTTCCCAATTCCCATTTTCACTTTGATTCATCACACACCCACCCGCCAATGCGTTCCTCTTGATGTGTTTGCTCATGTTCCTTCTGCAGTTGCCAACCCCCAAATCATAGGGTCTCTGTTTTGCTTCAGACCCTTTCAATTTATTTTCCTTCAGGTAAAATTCTCTTCTTGATGGTTCTTTGTTGCTCTGTGATCTTATATGACGGTTTTGATAAATGGGGTTGATCATTTTTTGTGAATCATAAAGTTTTAATCTTGATGGGTACTTTTTTTTTTGGTAACAATCTTGATGGGTACTTTATTTTGATGGTTTTGGGAATTTGTTTTAGGAAAGGCTCTAGATAATGTTTTGATTTTGGGTTGTAATTTCTAGGGATGTAAGTTCAATGCATAGTGATATTTTATTCAATTGGTCCTTGTGGTTACAGGTTTTGGGTTGAGGGTTTGTTGAATGGGGATTCAGACAATGGGTTCTCAAGGTAATGGGCAACAGTCTCATTTACAGCCTTCTTCGTTGTCTAGGCAAAACTCTTGGTATAGTCTCACTCTTGATGAGGTTAGGAGTCAATTAGGAGACATGGGGAAGTCATTGGGGAGCATGAACCTAGATGAGCTTCTTCAAAATGTATGGACTGCTGAAGCTAATAATTCTGTTATAGGCTTAGACAATGAAAACATATTGCGGTCATCGTCTTCTCTTCAACGTCAGGCGAGCCTGACATTGGCTCGTGCTTTGAGTGGGAAGACAGTTGATGATGTATGGAGAGAAATTCAACAAGGTCAGAAGAAAAGGTATGGAGAAGATGTGAAAAGTCAGGATAGAGAAATGACTCTCGGTGAAACCACTTTAGAGGATTTCTTGGTGCAAGCAGGGCTTTTTGCTGAAGCTTTTATAAGTCCGGCCAGGGGGTTGGATACAATGGATTCCTCCACTTCTCAGAGTTTTCAACATAAAGCAGGCTTGTCATCCTCCCCTTCAATTGGGAGTTTATCAGACACAAGACCAGGCCGGAAAAGGTACGGTCCAGATGTGTATGAGAAAACTCTGGAAAGGAGGCTGACGAGGAAAATCAAGAATAGGGAATCCGCTGCCCGCTCACGGGCACGAAAACAGGTCTAGCTTTCATGTATTACATAAGCTAATATGCTATAGTGAATTGATTAGATTATTCTGTTGTTTCTTGATTTGTTTTACCTGTTGGGGATATTATTTTTTACTATCACCTGTCAATGTTTAATGGTGCAGGCTTACCATAATGAACTGGTTAGCAAGGTTTCCCGTCTAGAAGAAGCAAATGTAAAGCTCAAGAAAGAGAAGGTACCAGGCCTCATTCATGTTTTTATTTTTCCCCTATGTTCAGCATTCTTTGTATTTCTTTAGCTTAGAAATTCTATTGAGGGTTTTATTTATGGTTTGTTGGTCATTAATTTCCCATTCTTGATTGAAAAGTTTAGGTTGTGTGCTATGGATTAATTTTTTTTTTTTTTTGAACCTAAGAGTAGTTGATTGTCATTGAATTTTTTGATCCTTGGGGAAGTAGAATATTGCAAATTCCCCGTATTTATAAGATTCTAATTTTCTAACTAAATAGAATGATATTTGAGAACAAATTGTTGTAAATGATTGAAATTATTTTATTTTATTTTATTAGTTTTTGGGTTTATTCCCTTTGGCCCGTTAGTCTTTATAAATAGTGTAACCCTTGTACATGTTTTCCTGTGAATTAGTAATATATTAGAATTCTCCTTTCAAGTTGGCATCAAAGCTCTGGATTTAGGAGTTGCCTTTTGCTTCCACAGATGCCGCCTCTAGTGCGGATCTTTCCTTTTACGCTTCTAGTGCGAATTCTCTTTTGCCATCATTGTGCCTCTTCAACCGATCACTTTTCCGGTCACCAACCACCACTGGCCACTATCAGAAAAAAAATTCGAACTACTTTTTTGATAAAGAAGACAACTTTCTAACTCAGGAACTTCGCTATCTATCATTCTACATCACTCTCGTGTCCAAGAACTTATCCATGTGCTTCCAAACATAGTCACAACTGTCGTTGTCTCTCCGGCCAACCATTTTCATATCACTTTTCTAACTGGTCAACAAAGGTGGAGTCGCATGGCCTAGATCGGTTGGAACAAAGAAGCACATCGCCTAGAACAGCTCCACATGTTGGCCTGCCTCCTGCGTATGAGATCCACGTGCCATCACTATGGAGCGTGTGTGAGCCATCTCCTCAGCTCCAACTTGTCGTCGTCTTGCTTATGCTTGCTTTCTCTATCTTTATTTGCCCTCCTATCCTTGATCCCAACAACGTTTGGGTGGTGGGTGTTTTTGCTTTTATCATAAAGCTTCAATTTTTTTTGTTCTTGTTGGCCTTCCTTTCTCAGATTTGATGTTTTTATTTGCTATTTGGCATCTCCGGAGACCTTCATGATAATTACCCACCCCTTTTTGTGTTACTTTTTATGATTTTTTGTTCTTTTTCATCCATGCGATATTGGTTCATCCATTGTAATGGTTTTGGACACAAAAGATATGTGCTTTCTCCTTCCTTCATGGGAAGCAACAAGTTCTGGAGAAGCTAGGTAAAACAACCCCGTAGTGACTATTTGGTGAGGAGAGTTGTAGCATCTTAAGGTCATTGCTGATACTCTCAGTAATCCTCTTGACGCATGTTCTTTTGCTATGTAAGAACACACATTCTATATCTCTTGCTTCTTGCCTTGATTTCAATAATTTATGGATTATGGATTTTTGTGCAACTGATCCTATGACTTGTCTAGCTAAGCTGTTTCTTTCTCATCACCCTGCTCTTGGTATCCATACTATAGTCGTAGCTGATAGATCCTACAAATTAGTGAGTTCTAGTAACATTCAAATTCAACCCTTTTTGTGTCTAAAAATTGTTCTTCATGTTCCTTAGCTCTCCACCAATCTTATCTCTATGTATAAGCTTACAATATGACTTGAATTGTTCTGTCACCTTTTTCCCTACTCATTGTGTTATTTAGGATCTCACCATGAAGAGGACAGTTGGAGTTGTTGTGAAGTAGGGTGGGTTGTACTATCTCATTCCCGAGCATGTTACAACTAATACCTAGAATCAATTATTAATATTTCCTTCTTTGTGATGTTTCCATTTTGTTTTTGCTTGAGTCAATTGACTCTTTACATTGTGATATTTGTGAGCTTGCAGAATACCATTGTGTGTTTTTTCCTTCAAGTGCCATAAAATGTAATTAACCCTTTACCCTTATTATTCTAATATTTGTGGCCCTTCTAAAGTGCACAATGTTTCAAGTGCTAAGTGGTTTATTTACTTTGTTGATTATTGTACTAGGTGACGTGTTAGAAATATCAGATTTTTTTATCCGATTTTATCACATGATCGAGACTCGATTTAATAAAAGTGTTAAAATATTAAGATCTAATAATTGTACGAAATATGTCAACCAGCGTCTGTTACAAATCATTTTAGACAAGGGTATGTTCATGAGCTCATATGTGTGGATACCCCTCAACAAAACGAGGTTGTTGAGAGAAAAAATTGTCACCTTCTTGAAGAAACTAGAGCATTACTTTTTCAAACATTTGTTCCCGACTCTTATAAGGGAGAAGCCATATTAACTGCAGCCTATTTGATCAACTGCTTTCCTTCTTAGGTTCTTGGCCATATAAATCCAGTCTTTCTCAAAATAACTAAGCGCATTGAGCCTAATTGTCACTTTGTTTGAGATAAAATTTAGTTTGGGGAGATCAAAACATTTGTTAACTCACTTGATGAACTAACATATATTTTTACTAAGGCCCTTAGGGTCCCCGATTCAACTATATACATGACAAACTTGAAGCATATGATATATGCAAACTATATTGAAGAGGAGTGTTAGGATTATTAGAATATCCTCGCATATTAGTATAACAACAATTAGGATCATGTATATAAGGAAGGAAATCATTATCTAATTTCATACTAAGCTATATACACAAATGTGTGGTCTGCTAAGGAATCTCAGAATTCTCCTCAATATTTTGATCTTCAAGTTACACCTTTATCCTTGTTATCAGCTGCAGTCAAATTAGTATAACTATGTACTTCCGTTTTAATTTTATGGCAACCTCATTGTATAATATTTTAACCAGGCTGTTGATTGGTGCATCATTATATTAGTGTGTTTCAAATTCAAAAAACCTTAGTGACAGTTATTTTAAGTGTAATAGAAATCTGCCATTCTTTGTTAATTGTTGCAAGATAATTTTACTTGAACCATTAGATTATATGTTGAAGATTTGACATTTGAGCAACAACTGTAAGTTCCTGATTTCATATTGCATTCTTATCCTTTAATAGGAATTTGAGCAGAGGTTACCGTCTGAACCATTGCCTGAACCAAAATATCAGCTTCGAAGAATAAATTCTGCCTCTTTCTGACATGTGACCTTCCATGATGTTTTCTTATTTACAACTTTCTTGGCTTTAATGGGGACATGTCCAGGATTGCGTTACTGCATTGCTCATCGCTGCTGCTTGCTTCCGTCGGGGAGTTATCTCTATCTCTATAATTAACTAACTAAAGGGTACATATTGCACCAAAGGTCTGATGTTCATAAGTTTTAGCTTTGCTGGGAAACAGAATCAGTAATGGTTTGAGTCTAATGGAAGGTTTGCCTTTTTGTATAATGATTATCCGAGCATGCTGGGGTGATTACCAAGCATAAAACAGAATCAAAACAATTAACAAAATTTTAAAATTAATAGAGATTAGGGGGAGAGGAGTGCAGATGAGATTTATTTTGGTTCAATCACCAATCAGCGGTGATCTATATCCTGTCATTAGGCAAATTACCCCAGATTTTCTTTCACTATGTTTTAAGCTCTAAATGGTGCATGGGAATCGCTACAATACAACCGCTAAAAGTTATGGTCTTTGGAAAACTGTGCAACAACAATACCACATTTTTGAACGCATTAATTTTGTAAAATTGATTAAAACCTCTGAAAAATACAGCAGTTCGTGACCAAAGAGACAATGGAACCATATATATAGAAGATTGATTGCATTAAATGAGTAACTAATAGTTACAATTGATAACTGATCTTAGATTCCAAATATATTTTGGGCTATATTTGGATATATCCAGTCGTATATCTAGATATATCATGACAACTGACCTCTATTACACTTGAAATAGAATCCCTTTTCCTTTTAATTGGATTTTAACACTAATACACGTGACTGTAGAGAAGGTGACTAGGTGATAAACTTACATGAATAACCATTTTAGCACACTTAGGATGTATGCTATGGTGCAATGCAATCTTGATTTTCATTATTAAGGCTCATGCAATGCCATCAATCATTTATCTTTACAATTGAATCTAAGTGTAAAAATTATACAACTCAGATTTGCAGATTTACCTTCATGAGCTTTGAGTCTTCAATCAATACTTGTATCTACATTTGAACATGATTATTCACTTGGGCTCTTGAAGACTTTAAGCTTCATATGATCTTTGACTTAGCTTTTCTCTTGAATACTTTGATTTTTCAACACTTGAATTCTTCTTCTCTCTTTTGTGTGTTGCTAGGGCGAAGATATATGTTTGTCATCGTCAAAACACTATGTGAATTACCATGATATCTATCTTCAAATGCTCTTGATGCCACTATGAATACTAAATTTTGTCCTAAATATTAAAATAAAAATAAAAATTGAAGACACCCCAATTTTGTCTCTAGTCATAAATAATAATAACAAAAAATAGTAAATAAATTAATAAAAAAAAATGAAAGGAAGGGGCTTCCAAAAGCTGAGAAGGACATTTACTCAAGGAAGCACGGACACTTGTAAAAGCAGGGAGAGTTGTGTCGACACACGGCGACACGCTCTGTCACGTTCTGACACGGTGTCAGACACGTGGTCAACTTTTTCCGACATGTTGACCATTCCGACACGCGAATTTGACTGCGTCCGACACGGTCAATTTGACGGTGTCCGACACAGTCAAATGGCATTTTCTTAATTTTTTTTTTTTAAATTATTTTTTAAAAAAATTAAAATATATTAATAAAGCTTATACCTGATCATATCAATTTTATTTTTTTGTCTTTTTTTCCTTAAGTAGATAAGAGATCATCTCAGTATCATTGTTGTCAATTCCTATCACGCTCTTGTTGTATCTCCTTGTCTCTGATCTCTCTCTAATATGATTTGATCTCTCTATCTGATATTATATCTCTCTCTCATCTCAATTCTTATTTTTTTTATTAAAGCTTCCATCTTTATAACGTGTTGATGGGTATTATTAATTTAGTTTCATTTTTTGTTAAATTATTAAATATTAAATGAAATATACACTATATGAATTAAAAATATTATTAATATTAAAACGTGTCCCAATGTGTCGAAATCCACAATTTTTTAGGATAGACGTGTCGAAGTGTCGTGTTGTGTCACGTGTCGCGTGTCGTATCGGTGCTACATAGCATTTACTCTCCTTGGTCAATGGTATTTTCAGCTGGTACAATTTTTTTTTTTTTTTTTGAATAATCTCAAGGATATCTTCTATTGTAACAGAAGATTAATCCCCATTAAGCACTGTAGTATCTTTTTGGGGTAATTTTTCAAATCTTTTTTTTTTTTCCATTTCCAAGGTTTGCACTCAAGACTTTAATTAAGAGGCCCAGATTCCTTACCACCTGTACCAAAGAAGTTTGGTAGCTGGTACAAAACTTTGATCTTGTAGCTAAGTCAAAACAAAATAATTTAAAGTAGACAAACAAAAGTATGCTAAAAATAAGCAAGTATTGGAATTTTGAAAGAAAGGATTGTGCATAATATACAGCAAAGTAGTGAGTCAAAATTGCCTCTGCATAAAAGGAAAAAGCATGCTTATGATGCAGTCTGGTCACCAATGGTAAGAAAATAGAGGGAATCAAGAAGGGATGACGTTAGGCAGAAATTTTGGGGGAGTTGGCTGTAGAAAAGGGGGCAGAGAATAAAGGGCACAGAAGAAAATTCTGGTGAGAAAAAAAGGAAGTAAAGGAGCGATGCAAAAACATTCTGGCAGAGAATATATATATGTGTGTGTGAAACTTCAGAAATTTCATGGGGTCTTTTGGTTTTTTGATGATGATGGAAAAAAACATTCAATGTTTTTTAAAATGAGGTTAACAATTCCAACGTAGAAAATAATGAGAATTTAATACAACTGTATTCTACTGAAAGATGTTAAACTATTTTTCCATCTATATCAACTTCAAATTTTGAATTTTAAAAAAGAAATAGGATATTAATGCACCTGATTGCAACTAATTCCCATGTAAAAAATAATGGTAATTTAATACAGCTGTCTCCCACTAAAAGATGTTAAATTATTTTTCCATCTATGTCAACTTCAAATTTCGAATTTTAAAAAAAAAAAGTGGAATATTAATGCACTTGTCTGCCACTAATTAATACTGAACTCTTTTCGCACTAACTATTTATTTTTAAATATTTTAATTTTCAAATTAAAATAAAATATTTTTCATTTATTTGTGTTTTTAAATTCTATATCTCGTATAATTATTTTTTCGTTTTCCATATTATCATTATGAACATTGACAACTCTCATTTTTATAAGGTTTAGGTTTCTGGTCGAACTTTACCCGGGTACACCCCTCCCTACCTGGGTAAATAATTCAAACATTTTTCCAGATTGAAGAACTCTATCCGGGTACACCCCTCCCTACCCAAGTAGGCAAAAAATTTCAAAAAATACCCGGGTAGGAAGGGGTGTACCCGGGTAGGCTTGGTGGTCAACGGTCAAATAGGGGCAGATTGGTGTTATGTTTTCTGAGGAGGTTAAATTTTCAAATTAATTTGAAATGAAGGTCAAATTGGTAATTAATTATTAATTAAGGGTCATAAGAATCAAAAAGCCAGGATTCCATTCATATCTCATTCATCTTAGGATTAACTATTTCCCATTTTCATTAATGGAATTGGCAACTCATTATTAACATGAGCAACTCATTATTTGTAATAGGTATATTAATTACTACTATTTTTTGTATTTAAATTTTAAATTTAAATTATTTTTTATCAGCTCTACATATATTTTTATAATTTTAAATATTTTTTCATTTAATCTATAATTTTATATTATATTTAAATTTATTATATACATATATTTTTTCTCAGTGTAGAAACATTAAATGTTGAATTCTTCCAATACCAATCAAGTTCAAAATTTAAATTAAAATAGTTTGAATTTTAAATATTAAATATTTTCCCACCTAATAGACATAAAAAACACTATTGATAGGCTTAACAAATTTTCATGCAGAAAGTAGTGGGAAAATTAAAATAGTCTGTAAAAATACATAAGTGCTAACATCTTTTTACTGACACAAGAGTTGGATGGTCACTGAATAATCATTCATTTTTATATTGATTAAATTTTTTTAATTTTTTTTTTCAGAGTGATAGATGTCATTTTTTATTTAAATTAAAAATTTAAATCTTTTGTATTTTTTTATTCAAAATACTTTTGTATTAATTATACGTATTTTTTGTAAAAATAATTTTTTATCTTTTAGTTTATAATTTTTATATTGGTTATACATATATATTTAAAATGTTTATGTTAAAAAAAATTAATAAAAAATACTTGTACGAAAGTTTTTAAGGAGCATGAATGATTTCCTGATATGAACTGAATTAATTTATTAAGGATAATCTCTATCTACGTTTGCCTATGAGAATAATAATGCCATGCATGTCTAATATTTTTCTAGTAAATAATGCAACTAAGTTTACCAAATTGGATGGTCACTGGTTACTAAATGGTCACTCATTTTTACAGTGATTAAATTTTTATAATTTGTTTTTTTTTTTCAGAATGATAGATGCCATTTTGTTTATTTAAATTTAAAATCTAAAACATTTTGTATGAATTTTACATATTTTTTAAAAAGTTATTTTTTTTCTCTTTTAATTTATAATTTTATAATTTTATATTGATTATTACATGTTCATCTAATAGAAGAATAACTTGAGAAGATGATGAAGATAAACAGACAGAGAAGAGAATAAACATGTGCACAAAAGCTAGTTACCAAATGAAAAGAGCCGATAACACATATCCTATATATACATAAAATAATTTCATTTTTTAGTAATTAAGCCCAATAGTGAGATATTATTAATAGGGTTAACAATTACCCATGCAGAAATTTTTTTTAGGCATAATAATAAATATCATTAATAGACTTAACCAATTTCAAAGATGGTGCTTTGAGATGGAGAAAAATATGAAGCTAAAATTCCCCTTTTTTAAAATTTTCTCCTTGTTTTTAGGCAATAATTTTGGTTAATGTACAGTGGGAGAATTCATTTCTTAGAAGACGAAAGAAAGAAAAAGGAGATATAGATGTTAGCAAGCAATGGAAAAATCTGAAACTTCTGCAACTCTTTTAATGTCTCTTGATCTTGTTCTCCAGGCTTAGTTGGAAAAGAAAAAGAAAAATGTAAAAAAGTCTAGAATAAAAAATTCCAAAAAATCTCGATATAATTTTGAATCTATTTTCATGATTTGCAAAGGCATAAATTTCAATTCGTTTAGATTCCAATCCAAAATCAGGCTTAGTAGTCTTTTACACGGCGGGGTAACTAAGTTACCAAATTTGAAAGTAGCTAAATCAGATGAAAAAAAGGGAAATATCACTCAATTGATGTTAGTTTCAGTTGAATATGCTGTTTGTATAGGTACCCAAAACAAACATGTTTAATTTAGAATTTGTATTCATAACTTGAGTATTCCCCCTTGTGCCGATTAAAGATAAAACTAATATTTCAATTATCAATGGTTTAACAGAACAGGAGGATATGAACTGTACCAACCCATTGTACACCAGTATTGTTAACATTGATTATGATATTAAGCGCAGTTATAA